ATCCACAATATTGGCCACGCCGGGAATCCAGTACAGACTCGATGGCTTCTAAGAATCGCATGAAGCGGCCGTTTGCGGTATCTGACTTCGATCCCGAACGGTGGATTCAAACGACAGATAGTGCCAAAAATAAATTTCTGAACCCAATTTCCGGTAGCTTTATACCATTCGCGGAGGGCAGCCGAGCATGCCTGGGGTATCGTTTTGCTCTGGCAGAATTGTGCGCCTCCGTAGCAATCGTATTCAAGTCGTTGTCGGTGAGCCTACTTACCAGAGATGAAGAAGGTGACGGCAGCAGCTTTGGAGGTTCTGCAGATACTTGGGAAGCAGCAAGAGATCGGGCCGAGCTTGCCCTTTCCGAGGGCGTTAAGTTTGATATGAGTTTGCGGGTCGTTCACAGTCTACCGGTTCGATTTGAGGCGCGTAAATAAGGTATAACCGATCGATGGAAACCAGATATAGAAACGATTTAGCCCAACAGCCTACAGTTGAAGGGTATCATTCCATAAATTGAGCTTGACAGTCATAGAAATTCAAAATCTTCAAATGCCGCACAAAAGCTTCCGCACTACCAAATATAGCCATGGTGTATCGATCCTCGCTCCCAGCTCAAATTCTATATAGATGCTCCAGAGCGTTTCGCATATCTTTTGCCTTAGTGTCAGCCTCCTGCCCCGCTTTCCTATAGGCTACGGATTACTTCTTCCAGGTCTATCAAGACACATTGATTCCAGATTCGACAATGTGGATTGCTGAGGCGAAGATGACCGTACACAATGGGCTAGAAACTCCATAGGTTTAGCGATATCGCAATTATGAGTAATCCACCTCGATATACACTAGTTTTACATTCAGAAGGATCAAGGCAGGGGTGACTAATTGTTACCCTTAGAAATTAGTGCGTATTTACATATGCTACTGATGAGATCCAAAAAAAAAAGACAGGGTCTAGACGGCGATAAGAGGAGAAGGTAAGCCGCTTAGAAAGTAATTGTTTTAATGTACACTGTCTATCTCATAATGACAAATTCACTAATTCTATAGTTATTTGAAATCATTCACTTATTGAAAATCAAGCCTAAAAGTGTGGATAAATAAGGCCTAAAAGTGTCTATTAAATGATCTTTTTGATTCTAGCAGATCATCAACCAACTATCTGATTATCAGATAGTCAGATTTCATATGTTACAGATCTGACGATGACTCTGCATGATGACTGTATCATATACCCTGCCTGTGTACCCTTACCTAGTTGCCAGGTCTTCTACCCTGAATAGTAAATATTTTCTTTGACGTTATGGCTAGGTTACGGCGGTTAGGTTATGCCACTCTACTATCAGAGTAATATCCTTGAGTTATACAAATATCGAGTTATCTTTCTTCCAGTGGCTTCTAGAAAACTGAAACGATAAAATAATATTGGCCCTTCTTTGATTCCTCTCCTTCTCACTATATAGTATTTAATATTGGTTAGGGGGGATTTAGTTCAGATTAAACATAATATATATATATTGCCCTATTAGTCTTTCTTTATCTTTTTGGCTAAGTCCATTATTTGATAGGCTGTATATCAACGCACGTTACTTCAATTTTACGGCCAAAATCTGAATAGCAATGTATTTACTGAATAAGTATGTCCTGCGTTGGATACATGGTACAGGAGCTTTGAATAACAGGCAAACATCGGCCGAAGTGGTGTTTTCCGAGCTAGGCCAACAATCAAAACCTGTGTAGCTAGGTACATAAAAAGTTCCTCACCAAGCTGGGACTCCAACAGTCACTCCAAAGGCGCGCAAAGTTACAATTGCCCACCTCTCATAAAATCAGAATTTTCACACAATGCTATGCATTTACCCAATAGCGAATTTATGACCTTGCGCACTTTACTCCCGGTCATGATTATGTATAAATAGTAGTGGATCTATTAGGGGACGCAACAAGGCCTGACCATCAAGATGCCACATATCATGTCTTCCATTACAAATTGTTGAAATAGGCGGAGGGCTATGTAAGTACACACTGTCCTGTTCTGCACTCGATATTCATATTGTCAGTACTGTTGAAGAGGGCACTGTTGACGATTCAACCCTTCTTGTATCGGATAAAACCTTACGAAGTCTCACCCTCGCGGCAACTGGTTTTATATGGCTTCATCATCAAAGCAAGAGGAGGCCTTTTGCATAGAAGCAAAATGAAAATGTGGGTTACAATACTTGCTATCAACATCTTTGCACAATAGATATCTAGAAGTTTAGTACACACAAAATTCATTAACGCCCGGCGGCTCAGCGGAAAGGGCAACTATCGCTGATCTATCAACACATGTCCTAATGTACATCTGCCGTATCTCCTTCGAGCACAAACATAGATCCTTTCAGTATATATCCTCTCAGCTATCAGTATTGTAGGGTCCTTGTGGGTTAGTTGTGTTGTTAATAGACTCGCTTGAAAGCACTTCTTCAAGTGTTAAACATCCTATTCTCGGCAGTTGATACGCGTCTACTATCTTTGGCACAAGATCGTTGGTGTAGGTTAGTTAGAGGAAGGGTATTATTGTCTTGGTTAATATAATTAGACAGTATTGAGTCGGTCTATAACAATTATAAATTGTATTGAGACTTGTACTGTCTCTAAATTCGGTATTTATTGCTGATTACCGGAAGGCGATCTCCCGCCCAAACAAAGAGAGAGATTACCCCGGTAAGTACAGATATATTGTAGTAGTGCTATCCGTTGCGTGGTCTACTTCCGATATCAGAAAAGAAAATACTCCACGGTTTCTTTTACTTGTTTGTATACACTGGTCTGTCTGCGCAATATTAATTCGGTAGAGATATCTATTTAATCTTGCTATACCGGTCCAGAGTTGAGCTAGTATACTTGCTTCTTTCCACAATAATCTATATATAGCTGTCGGGTGTGCTTTCCTGGGAGTACTGTATCTACTTGTTTGGTATATCTTCCTACATCCTCTGGCAAGGCTTTCGTGGCAGCTGCTTGGGGTTGTGCGAGATTAAACATTGTTGACTTTATTCTGGAGACCTGTACTTATGGGATAGTATTCTTATAGATCACAGCTCTGGTCTACTCCTTAGCTAGACCCAGCAGTTTATTGTCTTCGCTGGCAGAGACCCAGAGGATCTTGATATGGTTTTATTTTCTCCGCAGTCTGTTTATCAACTTGTATATCTGACAGACGAACCCCTGGTCTGACTATTATCGAGGGTTCCTTTATTGTAAGAGCCACCGCTTTGTTGCTCGTGAGTAATCTGAGCCTGTAATCTTTTAGTCCTATCAGTCTATTTAATATATGTGCTATGGCTACTAGCTCTGTAGAGAATAGATTTTACTCTGATCTTATATATAATATTACAGAGAAGGTCTTCAGTTTCAGTTTTCGATATTAAGATAGTCACTTCTCGATCACCACCCCAAATCCTATAAATCCGTTCCGTGCCGAGCTGCTAACCGCGATTTGTATTGATCCGCCCGGTACAGTCTGTAGATCTGGTATAGCTTCAATATTAGTCTGTATACGTGTCTTCTATGATACTAATATAAACAGGTTAATAGTCTCTAGTGTTTCTATCTCGATATTTTTTAGCGCGTCCGCTATCTGATATAGCAGCGAGTGGTTAAATCTTCTAAATTTCTTGATCCGAACTGTGTTTCTACAGAGAGAATTGGTATCTGGAAATATATAGAGATCCGTCTATATTTTTTACAGTCTGTCTCCAAAAACAGTGTTGCGCAGTAGCAATATAAGCCTCTGTCTCCGCTACACTGGGTGCAACGGTAAGAAATGTCCCGACAATTACCTGCGCTCCCACGCTTTGGACTCGGTTGATCGGCCCTGTGGCCTTACTTTTTAAATATATATATTCAGATATTAGAGGCGTAGTCCACTATAAGCATCACTGTCGATGTGAATAGTTGCTGTGCTATTGATAGAAACAGATCTCGAAGTTACCGAAGCTCTATCACTGTCTCAAGGCCCTTGGACGCTGCCCTTGCGATATATTTCTTATATTTGAGACTTGTGTCTATCAGGACGCCCAGAATCTTGATATAGTCTTTGGGTTCAACAGTTTGTCCCTTGATAGTGAAGGGCTCCCGGTCCGATTTATAAGCCTTGGGAGTGAAGTGTATGGTGGCTATTTTATCTGCTTCGAAAGTTGCGCCGCTCCTTTTCTCCCAGTCGAGTGCTTCATTGATAATTGCTTCAATACCTTCCCGATTACTCTGCGCAGTTAGTAGTTTTAGTACAGTGACATTCGAAATTGGCTTTCACCTCAAACACTCATCAATTGTTTTGTAGCCCCATTTCCAAAACTTTAGTTCCTTGGCACCCCCAGCTGTGTTCTGAACGTTACCAGCACTCTTTAATTCTGCAACTTTCGATTGCTTATGGTTACATCGCATTTACAGTACAGGCAACGTGGGTTGACGGGTTCGGTTTAATTAGCCAGCCCTCCAACCCTCCAATTCGTCGATGCCTAGATATCCTGACTAATTACAATAAACCTCTTGTGCGTCTCAAGGTGTCGGAGGCATTTATTCCGATTCCGAAGAGGGCACAGCAGGTACACTCATAAACACCCTCAAAACAGTTATACGGCACTCCAGGCTTCTAGTTTTTTTTTTATTTATATTATGGCTAGCAGCTTACCTGTTCCCGGCTTATTGATGGGGTTTTGGAAGGTCGTCCTCAGGAATTAGAGTAATTGCTTGAATGCTGTTGATATGCACCACATTCTCTCTTTGATTTTTACCTGTTCTCAAGATCATGATTGGCTTTGGAACCGCGACAGCCTCATAGTACTGTAACACGTATCAGATCAGATCAACCCCTCAACTCCCAACCTTGAATTTGGACATGCCCACAAAGGGTTCTCTCCTGCAATTCTAATATCTACTGTAGTAAATGCTCTTTTTTCTCTATAAACTACCGGATCCCTTCTCGGTGAAGTTTTGCCTGGTTCCTGTGCATGACATATAAAATGGTCTTCACACATGATGATTATACGGTCGCATGGATCTGCGCCTTGCCGCTGGAAATGGCGGCCGCAAAGGTCATGCTTGACGAGGTCCACCCTCCACTCCCTCAGCCAGAAACCGATCACAATGTCTACACACTTGGGAGGGTTAGTAGCCACAATGTGGTGATAGCCTGTCTGCCTGGAGGTGTCTATGGGACGATATCCGCTACAGCTGTGGCATCACATGTGGTCTCTACCTTTCGGAGTCTCCGGTTCGGATTGATCGTGGGTATTGGAGGCGGAGTCCCGAGGCCAAATACTGATATTCGCCTTGGTGATGTTGTGATCAGCAAGCCAACTGCCACTTCAAGTGGTGTTATCCAATATGACTACGGCAAGACACTTCGTGACGGACGATTCCAGCACACCGGGTTGCTTAATAAACCTTCTCCAGTGTTGTTGAAAGCTGTGTCTCAATTAGAGAGTGATTATATAACAGGAAAAAGGCTGGTTAGCAAAATCTTGATTGATATAAAGCACAAATATAAAGAGATGAGAGAAAGCTTTTCGCGTCCGAAAGACGATTGGCTATTCCGACCGATATATAATCATAAGGATGGCGAACACAACTGTTCAGCATGTGATCAGACTCAGTTAGTGAACCGTTCTGTGCGGACAACTGATGACCCTTATTTCCATTATGGATTGATTGCTTCCGGAGATCAGGTCATTAAAGATGCTAAGACTCGAGATTCTATTGCTCACGATCTCGATATACTTTGTTTTGAAATGGAGGCTGCCGGTGTTATGGACGAACTCCCATCACTTGTTATTCGCGGTATCTGTGACTACTGCGATTCCCACAAAAATAAACAGTGGCAAGGGTATGCTGCTCTTACTGCTGCTGCTTACACGAAGACTCTCCTGTCAGTGGTTCCCATGTCCTGTCACAAGAAGAAATTACAAAAGTTATGGGAACCGGTTCAGGTGGTCCCCTTTAGAAGGAACCCGCAATTTATAGGCCGCGAAGAAGAGATTACTAGAACTGAAGAATTGATTATACAAAAGAATGGACCTGACAGAATTGCTCTCTGCGGACTGGGTGGAGTTGGGAAGACCCAGATTGCACTTGAACTAGCATACCGTATGCGAGATCGAGACCCTGAGTGTTCAATTTTCTGGATCACATGTACCAGCTATGAGAGTATGGAACAAGCCTATATGAGCATCGCCTTAAAGCTGGGAATAGCGGATATAAAGCCAGCTGAGGTGAAAGAAAAAGTCAAAGCTTATCTCAGCCAGGAGTGTGCTGGGAAGTGGCTTCTTCTTTTTGATAACGCAGATGATATAGGGATATGGAGCAAGGACAACACTAATCACTCGGTACTGAGGGACTTTCTTCCTCAAAGTAACCAGGGCCATATTCTCTTTACCACACGCAGCCGGAAGGTAGCTGTGAAACTGGTGTCTTCTTATGTGATAACAATCACTGAGCCGGACACAGAGACTGCTGTCAAAATCTTACAAAACTCATTAGTTGAAAAAGCCTTACTTTATGATTATGGTACAGCCATTGCCCTTCTGGAGCGGCTGGTCTTTCTCCCACTGGCGATTACCCAGGCGGCAGCGTATATCAATGAAAATAGTATTAACCTCTCTGACTATGTTAAGATTTTACAAGATCAGGAGTCAGATGTGATTGAATTACTGAGCGAAGACTTTGGGGATGAAAGGCGCTACAAAGACACCCAGAATCCTGTGGCTTTGACCTGGTTTATCTCCTTTCAACAAATACAACGATCAAATAAACTCGCAGCTGACTATCTGTCATTGATGGCGTGTATCAATCCTCGTGATATTCCACAATCGCTACTTCCCCAGCCGAATTCAACGAAGAAAGGAATTGATGCTGTCGGCCTCCTCAAGGCTTTCTCCTTTGTTAGCGAGGATAGCAGGGATTGTTCTCTACATCTACACCGACTAGTCCACCTTGCAACACGGAACTGGATGAGAAAGAACCAACAATTTAGCCCACAAATATTGAAAGCTGCAGACCGATTGAATGAGGTTTTCCCAAACAATGCCTATACCAATCGGAAGATGTGGCGGGGATATCTACCGCATGCTCTTTCACTAATAGCAGAAGCTGACTTTCAGAAGGAGCAGAAGAGATATATTAACTTAATTGTAAATATTGGGAGGTGTCTATATAGTGACGGAAGATGGAAGGAAGCAGAAGAGCTGGGAATACAGGAGATGGAGCTCTGCAAGCGAGTGCTGGGGCCAAAACATCCCGATACTCTGAGCAGCGTGAACAACCTGGCTTTAATATACCGGAATCAGGGACAATGGAACAAAGCAGAAAGGCTTGCGATACAGGTAATAGAACTCCGCAAGCAAGTACTAGGGCCAGAGCATCCAGATACTCTGAGCAGTGTGAACAACCTAGTATTAATATACAGGAATCAGGGACGATGGAAGAAAGCAGAAAATCTGGAGATAGAGGTAATAAAGCTCCACAAGCAAGTGCTAGGGCCAGAGCATCCGGATACTCTGAGCAGCGGGAACAACCTGTCATCAATATACCGGAATCAGGGACGATGGAAGGAAGCAGAAGAGCTGGGAATAGAGGTAATGGAGCTCCGCAAGAAAGTGCTAGGACCAGAGCATCCAGACACTCTGGGCAGCATAAACAACCTGGCATTAATATATTGGAATCAGGGACGATGGGAAGAAGCAGAAGAGCTGGAGCTACAGGTGATGAAGCTCCGCAAGAAAGTGCTAGGACCAAAGCATCCATCTACTCTAACCAGTATGAACAACTTGGCATCAACATATCGCACGCAGGGACGATGGAAGGAAGCAGAAGAGCTGGGGGTACAGGCAATAGAGCTCCGCAAGCAAGTGCTGGGGCCAGAGCATCCATCTACTCTAACCAGTATGAATAATCTGGTGTCAATATACCGAAAACAGGGACGGTGGAAAGAAGCTGAACATCTGGGGATACAGGTGATAAAGCTCCGCAAACAAATACTGGGGCTAGAGCATCCATCTACTCTGACCAGTATAAATAACCTGGTCTCAATATACCGGAATCAGCGACGATTGAAGGAAGCAGAAAACCTAGGAATGCAGGTAGTAGAGCTCCGCAAGGAAGTGCTGGGGCCAGAGCATCCGTCTACTCTGACCAGTATCAACAACCTTACCTATATATGGAAACAACTAGGAAAGGTCCAAGACACCTTAACTTTGATAAAAAAGCGTCCAGAGCTCGGCCACAACTCGTGGGGTCAAGATCACTCACATACCATATCTTCCTCTAATACTCTTACAGGAAGGGAGATAGCAATGAATTCCCTATCAAAGAAACCAAACCAGCACACTTCAGCCAAAGCCTCTCTTCCCTTAACCGTCTACAATTATCCTTTCAAGCAGATGAAATTGGTCCATGAACTTATCACAGGTGGTAAACGAAGAGTAATCAAGAGGTTTTTCATGAGACGATGATCCATGCTCGATCTTTTACTGCGGCTGGATTTAACATGTACTTGACATGATTTATGTATCAATATTTAACTAGGCTTCCAGCCAGTACAGAGCACCATGTTCCTTGCCACCTTGTTCTACGTGGCTGAGTTAGACCATCCCAATCAGGAATAGTTGGCAATCTGGTAGTGGTAAATTGGAAGTGTATTGGAACCATTTTGTATGAGTTCAGGGCGAGAGGGCGAACGACACCACTTGGTCTCCTTCCGTCATGGTCTTGCCAAAAAGGTTAGATGGCGGGGCTTTCGAATGTCACTATATTCCCACCCCACTTCTCTACGAGACAATCGGTTTTGAAGTGCTAGACAGGATTTTGGAAAAGCAGATCTACCGCTGTAAGTGTCCAGTGGGATTAGCCTAAGATAGAAATAGCTTCATGTTGCAATTATACGAATACAGTTATACACAATATAGAACAGCCACAATTGTTACCACTATACAGCTACCTAAAACTACTGTATATCCTCTTCCTAAACTTATATTTAATCTATATATAAGCCTAATCCATCCAGTTACTAAAGTCCCTAGTGACTATATTAAACTATTTTCTATTCTCTATCTATCTCTTAAACTTTACAAGTTATTATGCTATGATATTGAGAATACTCTCTTATATCGCGCGAAGTCTAGGACTAGTTATTATAGATATTACTATTATTAAATATTACCGCAGTAAACTATAGATACTTTAATTAGCTTTTTCTCTAGATCAAGATACAGTATACTTGCTAGTAGTTCCGAAATAATTATTAAAATCCAGCTTACTTTTTAGATTCAAATTGATATACTTTTAAATATCGACAGTCAAAGTATATTTATTAAGAATACCAACTCATCTCGAGGATTAATTAAGAAAATTTAGTCTTGCCAAGCAGGGAGTACATATCTACAAGATATTTTAGACTGCTTAGGAGTACTTTAGTATTCTAAGAATCTAAAGATATACAGAGCTTTAGAACTAAGAAGATAGACTAAATTCTCGCTATAGTTATAATATAATAGAATTACTGTAGCAATATACTATAAATACTAAAATAGAATATTTAAGAGTAGTTACTGAATTTTACTATCAGAGAAAAAGAATACTAATTAATAGTAGAGGTATTTGTAATAGTCTTGAAGAAAATACTCTGTTAGAGAATAAATTTAGAATAGGAAATATAATGGACTGTGTTCTGCTTATTACTATTGTGACATTGTGACCTGTTTAGTACAGAAGTGAGAATACACTTTCTAGTCCTTCGGGTGAAGAATATTCAGGTCCCTGAACGGCGCCCTGAACGGCTGCTAAGAGCGGCGAGACGCCCGCGACTCACCTTGGGTGATCACAGTCATACTAATGCTGTTGTATGTTTTTCTGTTTCTTTTTGTTATTTTGCCCTTCTCATACAATGTTTTTACCCCGTTCTCCTTCCCCGCTATTACAACCCCCGCACATCTAACATATCACCTGCCCATGCTCTTTTTTTTTTTTTTTTTTTTCCATATAAGACCATACAGAAGGATTAAGCTAGACAAAGCAGAATTTGCTGAACATATCCGGCTCCAGATGGCATGACTAGCCTGGGCATTCTCCATCCTTGCTCCCTGAGTCGTTAGTGAAAATTATCCCAGGTTGTGGGAAACTAGTGCATGGAACATGCCCTGATGGCCGATACGTCGGAAGCTGCCGGCGGTTCGGGAGGCTGCCGACGTATCGGCCGATTTAGTAGGCTCGCTCGACAAGTCTGGGTCTCAGCAATGTAACATAACATAATCAGCACATTGAAATCAACCCGGCCCAAGAGCTAGCCAGCTGGCCTAGTGATAAGGGAGCCTCGGTAGAAAGCGGTAAGCTATTGCCTGCCATATTTCGTGTATGTCTGCATTGGGTGTTTTATGTTGACGAAGATAATCAGCAGCAGCATCGGCGCCTTCGACCTCGAAACGCTGTGGACCGTCAAACTCCATTGCACATCCAATGTCATGCAATAATGTAGGCAAACACAGAGCAGACTTCGCCTGTTGGCACTAGCCCATTCTGACTATTCGCGTTGAGCTAATGTCTAGACTAGTCGAGTTGTCTTTCTGGATAGCTCCAAGTGGTGGGCACATTATGAAGACTCAGATGTTTGGTTTCCAGAGTTGATTTGACTAAGATAAAATTACTAATACAGTGGGCTTTTTGTCTTGCCCGCTAGACTACGCTCTATGTCACTGTGGGGTCTCCACATTCACGGTGATCTTCCACTGTGACTTTGAATCAGTGAATCCTTTCATTCAGCTTGGATCCAAGATGGATGTCGGGTTCTTTTTGCCAGTCAGTGCCAAGTGTTATCATGACAGCCTACGGCTAGCGCACACTAGAGTATAAGGGCAAGTTGAATCAGAACAACAAGCGGCCCTGCCCTCGAAACGCGTTATTAATACGTCTCAGTGTTGCTGAAATGAGCATAGCATTAGACCACACATGATCAAACCCGCAAAGTTCATGCATGGCTGCTGCTGACTAGTGACTACCATATTTTTCCATCACGTAACAAATCTACATAGATACGATGCTTCATTCGCACTCGGAGCAAAATATATCACCGGATGTAACATTCAGTATATTGGGTTACATCGCTTTTAATGAATGCTGGGTCTCACCATTAATGGCAACAAAGATTGTTAATCTATAGGGGTAACAGAAATGTAGATGGGAACTAATGGCTGTTGTAGTGCTGCAGTTGGATATAATGTATATTACAAATTCTCGCAAGGTGGTAAAACATATGATTGTCATACTAGTATCAGGCGGCCCGCCGGCGGGAAATCTTACCCCCAAGCCTAGTATGAAAGCTGTTCTCTAACTTATTTTGGGTGTTATGCTCCTGACTATAACTTATACTCTGTATAGGCAACCTATTGTGTACCCATTTATATATTCACAGGGTAAATACAGGTATCTATATAGAAAGGTATACTTAGTAAACAGTTTTATAAATGCCAAGATCATGTTTTTAAATGCCAAGACTATATTGATGTAGAAATAGATTTAGATGGGCAATCTATACAGTTCACCTACATTGGTTCTAGGTTGGGCTGGGTTATACGAGGTTCATGATAGGTTCTGTCGAAGTCTAGGACCCCTGTAGTACAAGTTCGACAGACTACTACCTGAGACACCGTCTGCGTGGTTGGCTATATTCGCTCTCCTGTCTGTCGGAACGGATTTGGGAGGCCTCGCGCATATACTAGTGTCTCTACGTGTATCTGATAGGCCACAGTTGCATTATGACGGGGCTATACACTTTTGGTTATAGCGAGCACAAGGAAAGCGAATATTGATGAATGCCACAGCAGCTTAAGTATATAAACCCCCGTCTTCCCCTGCTCTAAATCTGCACAGCTCATCAAGCCTCGTCTTTTTGCCTTGTTCTCTATCATTCTAGCTTCAAGAAATCTCTCCCCTTTTCAAGATGCGTTTCTCCATCACCGCCATCGCCGTCATGGCTGGTCTCACTGCCAGCGGATCCGCGTTTGTCATTGACACCTACAGTGACAATAACTGCGGCAGTGTCGTCGAATCCGGTGTTAATATCTGGGATAACACCTGTGCAACTTGGCCGAAAGGTTTTAAGTCTTTCAAGATCAAGACCTGGGGGGGTTCTCATCAGAAGGGATACTTCTTCGCGGAAGGTGGCTGCGGAAGCCTTCCTGGGGCTATTCGCAAAGGATATGTGGATTCCACAACGAACGACTTCTCGCTTGGAGGATGCAATAGTTTTAACGGCGCATCTGCCAATGCAGTTGCTTCGTATTCTGGTTGATAAGTATAGGAATTCAGCTAGGTAAGCCCTCATATCACAATGGTTGAAGAAAAGCTAACTGTGCCCTAGGAGTATTGTGGTATTGTGAATTGTTGCAAGGAGGGGAGGCATGGAAAGAAAGAAGGATTCATAGACTCTCATTTATCTTTCCTTTTATCTGTCCAGTATGTCGGATATATTTCTTCCTGAAATAGCGATCAAGGCAATTAGAATCTCGCTGTTTCTTTGGTGATTTCATATTATCCAGAAGAATAGTTCTATTAAGTTTTACTGTAGTAGTGAATGGTTATCATCCTGATAAGTACTAGAATCCAAAGAATTTCAGATTGTATTAGTGCGGTCGCTCGTGCGCTTCGTATCCTATATTATTTTCAGAAATATCAAGTTCAGATATGCTCCTCGGGATTTACAGACAGAATAGAAGTGACGTAGTCTTCCTAAATAAGTTTTCATTATAACTACAAGCATGTACATTGTCTTGGAACAGTATTTATTGCTGAGAAAGGCTCTGTTGGCAACTGAAACCGGACTCTAGGCAGGTTATTGCCCCAGTCTTGGAATCGCAGAGCGTAATAGTTCTCGTGCTCGTCTGGTGCTTCTAGGTGCATTGAGATACCCACCAGTGGCGCGAGATTTTCTTCGCGCAGAACCGTAACTCCATATTTCCCAAAAGGCTCAGGGTAGAGGTACAATGTATGCTAACCTTAGTAACAATACCTAGTCAAGCTAGTCAGTACAGGTATCTATTGCTATATCTATAGAACTAGAGCACTAATAATAGATTTTAAAAAGAACCTGCTCACGCTTGGGCCAAGACTACTATATAATATAAATATTAGCAAATAGACTAAGTAATATAACCGAACTAGAAAGATAAATCTCTTAAATGGAATGAAGTATTCATTCCTTTCCATAGCTCCTATATCCTTCCAAGAGAGCTCTCTATTCGGTAGGACGATCCTATACACTTTCTGAACTTCTAGGTAAAGCATATTCAGGTCCCTGACGGAAGTCCTGAAGGGCCGCCCACAACTGGCTTTGGGTGAGCACCGTCATACTAACGCGGTTGTATGTTTTTAATTCCTAAAGATATCTTTTTAGATGTTGAGTAGTATGAGTTGCCATTGCCGCTCCCCTTCACCTGAAGCCATCTGAAAAAGGTTCCTGAAAGGCTGTGAAGTGGCGAGATGTCTACAGCGAGCCTTGAGTAGAAGTACAGTTATACTAATGCTTGTTGTATGGCTTTTATTTAATATCCTATAACCTATTGCCAGAATTTATTACTCCATCGGTTAACATATTCTGTAGCTATATAATAACCATTATTCCTCCAAACTCGTAAAAAAGGTATGCCTGTTCCAAGAAAAGACGATGTGGTAAGGAAGAAAGGTATACCGGAAGATTCAACGTCTCTATAGGTATTTATGCAATGTAATCTAGAATCATGCTATCTAAGCTCTTACCATATTACCGGCTAGCCCAGCATCACTTGCTTCTAAGGCTTTGTCCCACATTCTCGGCTTTTGAAAAGAGTAGCAGTATCAAGCACGGTTCCGTTGGAACTGCTGATAAACTCATGGGTGAGGTGAGTGCAGTTGTGAAAAGTGAGCTTACTCCAGCCATATGCTGAGTCCTGTGCCGCACGCGAGTAAGGCTGGAGAGGATAGGTCAAGGAATCGAGTCCATCATAGTGACCAGCAGCACCGTTGGTAATATACCATGGGGCGCTGGGGTTGTCCAAGCCGTTAGGGTCAGCATTGAAGATCCGGATTGGTGCATGTCTCTCGTATAAGTGCGTGTGGCCAGACAGCACGAGGTCAACACCATGCTTCAAAAAGATCGGCTCAAAAACCTTCCGGCAGTCCTCACAGACGGTGCCACTCTCGTTCTTCGCGCTGATATACCAGGGACGGTGACCGGCTGCAACACTATTAGTTAGTACTGATATTGTAATCCTCATGTCGGCTGATCTTTCCCTTTGCTTTGTTTACAGAGGGGACTTTATAGGGATGATGAGATTTTTAAAAAAAGACCTACCAGCAATAATCCATGGGGTCTTGGTTCGATCCACAGAGCTCAAATCCTTTTCAAGCCATTTGAGCTGGGCGTCGCGAAGCGTGCTAAATGGGCCGCTCTCCTCACCCTCGCTTCCTCCCACCTCATCCGGACCGATAAAACCGTGCCCGAGGTCAGTTTCCGTGTCGAATTGAATGTAATGAACCATACCACTGTCAAAGGAATACCAGAAGTTGTCTACCCCGCCAGATTGGGGGCTGGGCATGCGAAAGTGGTGACGATAGCCGGTGAAATTGGTTTGACCGGGCATACAGATGGAGACATTGTAAGAGATATGATGCGTGGAGTCGCTTGTACCACCGTTGTCACCTAAAAGCTTCATCAGACTACTTCCATTTTATGGCTGCTTTTGTCTTGGTCGTGGATGAATCTTACAGTTGGCCTCGTGATTGCCAGGGCCCACCATATATGGCTTCTTTGAAGTGATGACGGACATTTCATCATAATATTGGTTCAGTAAAGATTCGTAAACTTTGTATCCATCGGCAATGGTTGTATTAGGAAGAAATCCTTGGATTTCCTCTTTGAGCCAATAGTCGGCGTAGGCAATGTCGCCCGCTGCATTAGGAACATGGTCAATGTGATATTCCCCGTGCATCGGAAACTTAAAAATGAAAACATACGGTGCCATAAGAAGTCTGTGTTCGCTCCCTGTGCTTGGAGAGACTGCATGGTATTGTTGTCTCCAGGTTTCAACGGGTGGTCTGCACCTTTGCCGACATGAGTGGTTAGGCCTTGAGGGCCCATTACTCCCATGTCAATTGCCACAGCGACCGAATATGGAGTCTGATCTCCCCGACGGCGACTGGTCATGAAAGAGTATGGCTTGGTAGCATTGCTATGCTGAGGCAAGTAGTAGTAAACAGTGCCAGGCTCCAGATCCAGCAAAGGAACATGATTGTTGTACGTCAAAGATGTTTCATAAGTCACCGAGACCTCCGACGAGGCCTCCCGATCCAAATTGTTGGGCTTGCGACCATAGCGAACCGTGGGCTTGGCCAACTGAGAATAGGTGTTCCAACTCACCATCATACCATTTTCTCCGGCATACGCCAAGCGCAGTTGCATCGGAAAAACAGCATCATAGTGGGATGTCGCAGATGAGGTCGATGTGAAGAGTAGCGACGCAGTCAGGACTGCTGGCAGGCCCAGAAAATAAACCATGCTGAGCAAAACACTTGGTTGTTTGTTCGAAGATGCAGTCCAATGTAGCAAATATGGCGGCGGGCTTATATAGGAAGCCATATTTACGCACAGACTTAACAAGGTTTTATTTAGATCGACGCTAGATTGCTTGTTTTCTTTTGGGTAGACATTTGGACCCTGCCGCACGTGGAGCGGGTTTGCCCTGTTATAGGCGCCCAATTCTAACTTAGCCCGGGTTTAATCTCTTTTTTCGCGGAACATGCCGCCACATTACGGTCGAGCCCAAGCAAGAGAGAAATGACAGGGGGGTGAGGGGTGAAGTGAAAGAGCCATGAAAAAGGGTGAGGTCCACTAGCAGCCCACCCCAATCACGACAGTGTTGGTCTCCCACCGTTTGGTTGTCTGATGGAGATGTTGTTTGATTGACGCTATGGACGACGAGTATTGTATCCTGCAGGGAGAATATATGAAGAAACGAGAATGCACAACAATGGTCTTGAACTATTTTATTATGTCACCTATAAATATCACATACTCACAGAAAGGAACAAGTTAGCTTGAGATTGGAAAGGATAAGAGATAGCGAATCATACTAATAGTTTTGATTGCTATCTTTCCATCGGGGCCCACAACTGCCTTGGTTGTTTTGAATGCTTCGCTGGCGTCCTTGAAAGAGAACCTAATTTTCATTGGTTGTTGGGCACAGGTAAACTTCCTGGAGCCATCGGGGATGCGAACTGATGTGTTATCAGAGGATTCAGGTTAATACGACCCTGCTGAACAAGGTCAACTACCAACGCGTAGCAACCCGGACCGTACTATCTACATGTTAGCATACCATACCACAGCCTCCAAAACGCGGTACTTTACTCACAAGTAGACTACCAATTAACCTAACTTCCTTATTGACGAAAATAAACAAAGGAATCAGGTTGTCGGCCAGTCCAGCTCCGACCTGAGCGCATGTGCCGCGGCGCGCTTGACGATCCAGATGCCAGTTTGGACGGAGACTTCCGCTCTGGCGCACTCAACAAGAAGATCGGTGCCTTCACCTCGCTCACCGAAGCCAAAATTCTCCAGGATATGCTTCCCCTGTACGGGCGTTAGAGACGTGTCTGGAACTGTGAATAGGGTAATGGCTTACATGACGCTTGGAGTATGCCATCATCTCCTCTCCCTCTTCTTTTCGATTGCTAGATGAATGTCAGTTGCTGCATATTGTTTCGCAAACTCTTAGCACTGAGACTGAAAGTCGATGGCCAGGATTCGTCGAGCCCTGAGAGCTTTGGCGACCGCCACTGTCCTGTTTCATTTGTGAGCCCAGCAGGGGAATAATGTCAAAGATGGTTGGGTGTCGCCTGAAAGCGATGCCGCTTCTTGAGCAATTAGGTCCCCCGTGCGATCTTATATGCTTAATATGATATTTCCGACTTGGGCAGGATAATATAGTTTCTCTTTTCCTTTATTCTTCCTTGTTCCTTTTTTTTTTTTTTCTTTCTTTTT